AGAAATTCAAAGATTATCTACAGAAATATTGTAAAATTAATGAATGGTAGAATGATGTTGGATAGAAATTAAGTGGTTTCCAGCTGTAATGCTTTAAGGGAATATGAAAAATGGGTTATAAATAGGTAAAAATCTAATGCTATTATTTTTAAGATCAAGGATTAGGATAATTAAAGAGGGTAAGGATTTGCTGAACCAACAGATTGAAGTGGAATACAACAAAGGGAGGTATGAGGAGGTCCAGGAAACAAGCTAAAGGAAAATAAGTAATGGAAAATCTGTGTGTTTTTAACCATTTTTATTTTGTATTTTTGTTATTTTTTTCACTTTTATTGTAATTTTTTTTAAAAAATCTTAATAATATGAGATGGAATACTCAGGATGAAACGGTCAAATCTGCTATGATTAAATGGGCACAAGATGTTGGACATAATATTATGTTTGCTGACTGGGAACAGTTGTGGACCACAGGTATGAAATTTACGGCATGTAATGCCTTAAGAGAAAATATTATGAAAATGATATACAGGTGGTACATAACCCCAGTCAAGCTTGCAAAAATCTAACATTTGCCTGACAATAAATGTTGGAAATGTAAAGAAACTGAAGGTACATTTTTTCACCTTTGGTGGACGTGCCCAAAGATTAAGGCTTTCTGGGAGATGATATATAATGAACTAAAAAAGGTATTTAAATATAGCTTCCTGATGAAACCAGAGGCCTTTCTCCTGGGCATAGTCGGCCAATCGGTGTTAAAAAAGGACAGAACTTTCTTTATGTATGCTACAACAGCAGCAAGAATACTTATTGCAAAGCATTGGAAGACACAAGACTTACCCACACTGGAGGAATGGCAGATGAAATTGATGGACTATATGGAATTGGCGGAAATGACTGGCAGAATCCGTGACCAGGGAGAAGAGTTGGTGGAAGAAGATTGGAAGAAATTTAAAGACTATTTACAGAAATATTGCAAAATTAATGAATGTTAGAATGATGTTGGATTGAAGTTAAGTGGTTTCCAGCTGTACAGGTACAAAAGAATATGGAAAAATTGGTTTTTAATATGTAAAAATTTAAAGTTATAATATATCAAGATTAAAGATTAGGATTAAAAAGGAGGGAAAGGAATTGTTGGATTAACAAATTTAATTGGAATACAAAAGAGGGAGGTATGAGGAGGTCCAGGAAACAAGTAAACGTAAAAGAAGTGAGGAAAAGATGGAATTGTTTTTAACTGTTTTTTCTTTTTTTCTAGTTTGTATTTTTCCTTTTTATTGTTAATTCTTTTTTTTTTACTAATGTGATTTTTTTTCCCTTTGAAACTTTAATAAATATTATTTTTTTAAAAAAAAATCTTAATAAATATCTTATAAAAAAACCAAACAATTTCTTGTGGCATTTTTACACTCATACAATTTTGTAGCCTGAGTCAAGAGAATAGCATGTTAGCCCAAGATGCTTGGGGCTCTCTGCTGAATTAATTTGTCTCCATACCTATCTGCATATAACTGAGAACAATTTGAAGTATACTGAAAGCTACAATTTATATTTTATTTATTGTTAAAAAAACCTTATTCCCCAAACGAACAAAAACCTGTGAATCTCAAAACCTCGTTAGCTCTTTCTCAGAGTAGATGGTCCAATATATGTTAGTTATTGTGCTTGGGTCTAATTAACAGCTGCCCAAACAAAGATGATGGAGTCAAAACACAGGCACAAATTAATCACTGCCTCGTCATCAATTGACTTTATAACCAGCTCGCTTGAGCAAGCTCTGGAGTGCTATGCTCCAGAGGCAGCCATTGCAATTTGGTACCATTAATGTCAGAAGCCAACAAATCAGTTCACCAGGAATTTTTCCTGCATAAGGAATACTTAAATGAACAGGACCTTCCCAGTTCTTGTTCATTTCAATGGGGTTTGTACAGGAAACTCATTTTAACGTGTGTATGTGTGTGACCACAGGCAAGCAGACTTTTCTTGTACATAGTTTATAATGAATTTGCTGCCTCCCAAGTAGGTCACAGTTGCTTTGTTCTAACAAATTGAAATCCAGCCATCCTTTGAAAATTCTCAGTAATCAGATTTTGCAATGCACTTGTACAGCCAAATAATGAATACAAAAATGCTTATATTGGGGTGAAGTGTACATAAACTACACATATTTTTGAAAATGATCATTTGGGGAAATTGCTTTGCAAAAATGTGCATATTGGGCAGAATTGAATATTATTACAGAGCCTGGTGAGGTGTCCAACACAACATCTTGCCTGATCTTGTGGGATCAGGTTCAACTGAACTCTGAAGATATGGACAAGGTTCTTGAACTGGTTCAGCCCACCATATGCTCGCTTGACCCCTGCCCATCATGGTTAATTCAAGCTACCTGAGGGTGGCTGGCCAGATGGGTTGAAGGAGTGCTAGCCCATCTTTGCATGACATGATGCTGCCTGGTGCCTTGAAGGAGGCTATAGTGCGACCACTCCTGAAGAAGTCCCCCTGGCCCCAGAGGTATTTGACAACTACCAGCTGGTCACAAATACCCACTCTTTAAGGTAAGGTACTTGAGAGGTTAGTGGTGGATCAGCTGCAGGCACTCTTGGAGGAAATAGATTCATTGTGACCCATTTCTCAAAACAATTGCTGTGCTTTGGCTTGTACAATGTAGCACTGGATTGGAACATGAGATACAGCATCATTCTAAGACCTTTTTGTGCTTAGAATCTTGTGGGCATCTTAAAGACCAACAAATTTATCATATGTTTTCATAGACTGGAGACCACTTCATCTGATGTATGAATTCTTGTTGGCAGATGAATTCTTGTTGGGTGCTCATAGGGTGACACGTAACACATCTAATGGAAGTGGACTTTAGCCCACCAAAGCTTATGCTATAATTTTTTTGTTTTGTTTCTAAAGTGCTACAAGACCATGGAGGGATCCGCACCATACTTTTAAAGCACATGTATATCACTTTAACTGTCATGGCTTCCCACAAAGAATAATGGGAGCTATAGTTTCTTAAGGGAACAGGGAGGGATCGCCTAACAACTTTCAGCAGCTTTAACAAACTACAGTTCCCAGGATTTTTTTCCTAGAGGCAATGACTGTTAAAGTGGCAGTGCTTTACTTTGGGGTAATGAATTGGAAGGTTTCCATACTCCTTCGAGTCTTATTCTTTGAAGATGGGTGTACAGAGATGTGTTTTGCATTTTCTCTAATAACGGGAAGGCAAACTCTTCTTTCTTCCAAGAGATGTAAAAGAGCTTCTGCTTAGTAAACGACATTCACTAGATAGGATGTTTTTTCATGTTTGGTAAATAGAAAAATGACAGGTGGTGGGTGGGATTTTCCCCCTGATTATTCTTCACTCACAAATAAATCACTGAGGAGCAGCAGCAGCAGCTCAAATGAGAGACACAGCAGTCAGCTAAATAGATCCATAGCTCTGTGTGGTGACAGCTTCCTCCCTCTCTTTATCAGCATGTGACTGGCTCTTGGAGAAGGGGGATGGCACCACTCACGGCTGCTCTGCTGGATGGAGACAGCTAGGAAGAGTTGGTTGACAGGTTTAAGCTCCTACTTACATGCAAATCATAACCCAGCCCAGAAGCAGTCACAAAAGCAGGAGGGATTCACAGAGTTTCTTCAGGCTCTCCCAGCTAGCCTTGCTGTTATCTCTCACTAATACAACAGGAACAGCAGCAGCAGCAGCAGCGGTGGAAGGACCAGTTACAGCTGGGATGAAAGCAGCTTTGAAGGTACAGAGTGCTGATTTAAAGGGACAAGGGGAGCCTGGCTGCAAAGTCTTCAATCTTGAGAGGGGTCCAAAGAATTGTGGAAGGAAGGCAAAGTTGAGGGTTCTTGTTTTTTAAAAAAATAATATTATGAAAATACTTATGGCTGGGTGGTGGAAAGGAGCTGAGGCAGAAGTATATAAACAGTCGACCTGAGTGCCTTGGGAATGAAAGGCACAGAGGTGCTGAAGAAGGGTTTTAGACTTTGGGATGGCACACTCTGAAGGTCATGAAGGGTCACATGGAGAAAGCTATAAGGAACTGAGTCCAGGTGTGTCTGTGAGAGAGAGGTAGTAAAGAAATGGGTTCACCCAGGTCAGCGGGATGACTAAGCTTGCAATATTAAATACACTTTCTCTGGATTAAGCCCCCTTGGGACTTGCATCTGAATAAATATTGAATGGATTGACTGCCAGCGCAAGTGGAAGCAAGTTCCAATCAACATGCAAAGGACTGAGCGTAACTGTAGGCACAGTAGCAGTCCTGCTGCATGAAAACATGTCTCACTGAACTCTGAGGAAAAGGACCCAGAATCGAAACGTTATCTCCAAATGTTTTCTAGGAACTATTGCATGGGAACATTGCAAGTGGAATCTCACGAGTATGGAGGAAGTCTTGGGTGTTAGGGAGAAACTTTATTTATTTTTTAATTTTTAAATGGAATGAGAAAGCTATGTAGGAAGTTGGGTGAAGAGTCAAGGGAAGAAAATAGGGTGGTCAGCTTCTTCCACACTAGGGCTCTTGAACTTCTAACAGCAACCAGATACCCAGAGAGACCAAAGCTCCACAGGTGAAGTTTTCTCCTTCCTACCAGGATCAGCTTCATCTGCTCAATTTGACTTTCCACAGAGCCCTTAAAAGCCACAAGAGCCCAGCTAGGGGACAACCTCCCCCCCCCAAAAAAAACCCCTCAGAAGTTGGCAACCGGCCGTGACATCCGGCTAAGCCACGGGCAAGGCTGCTAACCAGCGCTGGATGCCTGCCTAGGCAAGGGCGACTCTTAAAGTTACGCGCCCGATCCTGTGATGCGCCAGTTAGCTTGGAAGGGGAGCGCAGGCAAGAGCAGCCGGCGGTGGGGTGCGGGAGGCGAGAGAGAAACGGCGGAGCGGGCTCCTCAGGGAACGGCGGGCCGACTAAGCCTCGGGCCACCTGGCAGGCCGGGCCGCCCCCCTGGAGCTGGGCCGCTGCCCCGTCTCCTGCCCCGCCACCCGGGCGCCGCCGGAGCTGCTGCTGCTCCTGAAGCCGCCGGGTGGTGGCGGCGGCGGTGCTGGCGCCTGCTTTCCCGCCCTTCCTCTTCTCCCCCTCAGAGCGCGCTTGACCGCCCAGTGGCCGCTGCCGCCTCGGGGACTCCGCGCTTGGGAGTCGGAGGGTGGGGGAGAAGCTGCTGCTGCCGCTGAGGCGGCGCCATCCCCACCACGCTTGGCCGCTCTCCTCCTCGGCATCTTTCCTTCGCCTCACGCTGCCACCCCTCCCCACCCCCGCCATTTTCAGCCGGGAAGCGGAGAGGACTTTGCAGAAACCAACTTTTGCCGGCCTGCTCTTGCAAACTCCGCCTGACTTTCTCCCTCTTTCTCTCCCCCTCTTTGCCTCTTCCTCCCTCCGCGCTGCGGGAAGTTGTCGATGAGCGCCCCGCCGGTCATCCGGCCGCCCAGCCCCTCGCAGCCGGGCAGCGGCGGCGGCGGCATCTCCTTCCACCTCCAGATCGGCCTCAGCCGGGAGCCGGTGCTCTTGCTGCAAGACTCCTCGGGGGAGTTCAGTCTGGCCCATGTCCGGGAAATGGCATGCTCCATCGTCGACCAAAAGGTGAGGCGCCTCCTGTTGGGTGGGTGAGCTTCTTTCCTTTCTCCCTCCGTCCCTCGCCTTCCCACTCCCCAAGCCTTTGGATTGTTGGGATCGAGTGCCTCTGAGCGTGTGCAGAATGCCTGCCGATCCTACCCCGGCAGCTGTCCACACGGGTTTTGGCTTTTTGGGGGGAGGCGGAGTAAAGCGACAAGAAAGCGTTAGTTTCAGAGAAGTCTACACCCCGGGGACCTACTATTTATTTTGGAAATGCGATGGTGGTCTCAAATGCACGTGTGACTATAGTCCCACCGCTTTGTCTGCTATGAATTAATTGAGCCGAAGGTCCCAGGGCAGGTTACTGCATTGCAACTCATCCTTCAACTCATCCTCCCCCGCCCCTTATACTTTTCGTTGCAACTTGTGCGTCTCTGCAAGGTTGCGATTGCTACACGCGGCGTCCGGTTTCTTTTAACCCCCCCCCCCCCCAATTTAACAGAGGTACTGCTCCCCACTCGATCTCCTCCCCAGAGTTTTGAAAAAGCGGGGAGTTTGGAAAGAAGACGGGGAGGGGCCGTTTTGAGGCAGGGGCTCCCCTGCAGCTGTCTAAATAATAACAACCCGGCCCCGCAGGACCCGCTGGGGAAGGAAAGTTTCCACTTTGCAAGCCAGAAAACAAAACAAAGTCGGCACGCTTGGTAGGCTGAGCTCAGGCCAGCAATTCGACGCCCGCAAGCCGGCGCTGGGGCACGTGGGATGCCAGCTCTGACCTTGCGGACGGGAGCTTACCCGGCCTTTTGGTTATGGGGAGAGGCAGGCTGAAAGGTGAGGAGGGTAGGATGGCCGCAAGGAAGGGTGCTAGGCACCCAGTCCTGAACAAGTTTACTCATAACAAGCCCCATCCATCCCCGCCCCCGCCAAAGAATAAATGTACTGTACATAGAATTGCAGCCTTATAACTCATTTTTATGCCCGCCTGCTCAGAAGTAAGCACTGTTCAGTTCAGCCTTAAGTTGCAATCCTGTTTACAGCTTACCTAGGTGAAAGTCCCCTTGAACTCACATGGGCTTTACTTCTCTGTAGGCAAATAGATAATATGGGCGAGGAATTTTTATACTTCACACACTTTTCAGCCGTCTTGCTCATTCCTCAAGTGAACTGCAGACCTTAAAGTGCTGTCACACACTTTCAGTGTCCTTTTCTTATTACTACCTCCCAACACTTCTTAAATGTGCTCTGCCCTGTTTTAACCCCATCCCCTCCAGTGTCAATACTTTGATCTCCCCTCCCCATGCATGAGTCAATTTGCTGTCTTTTAGTGAATACTGTAAAGCAGGGCAGGGAACTTGTAGTCCTTCCATGGCTGCTGAACTCCAACTCCCATCAGCCCCAGCAAGCATGGCCAATGGTAAGTGATGATGGGGGTTGTAGTGCAGCAAATATCAGGCGGGCCACAGGTTCCCCAGCCCTGCTGCAAAGTTTGAATGGGAGATGTGTGAGGCATACACTTGACTGAGGAAGAGACTAGTCAGAGCTCACAACCAGCACACTTGTGGAGTGTTCATTGTTATTTATACCATTTCCACCAAGTAGACCTGTGTGTGCCTTACATGTGGTTTCCAGGTGGTCTCTCATCTAGGGCCAACCCTCCCTTACTGCAAATTGCAAAACAGAATGGTTCTGCCATCAGGCTATTTTGTTGGTAGGCTTGACTCTTCCCCTTCGAAAACGATGATGTTTGCTTCAGGACATGCAGTCACACAGGAAACCTTCAGGGACAGTCTTATGGCATGAGCCAATTTCAACACCATATATTCAGGTGTGTGAACGGGACCGAGAAGGCAGCAACTGATGGAGTCTGTTGGCTATGAAAGTTTGGCTTACTAGAAATCAGGGAGTCTAGGGGAGCACCAAAACCAGCACACTCACATATCACTGTTTGCTGAGTTTTTGCCATCTTGGCAAACTGTCATTTGTTTCCTATATAGTTCAGTTTCCTTCCTGCTAAATTTCTGTCTTTGTACCTTCTTTTTTGGGGGGCAGGGGGGAGGTAGGTCATGATGCTGCCAAATAGTAATAAAAGTCCTGGATTTCTAATTTATCGTGTGCAGCTGTTCTTTTTAATATCCCTCTAATGACAGTGTGTCATGATGTCAAAAGGAACAAGAAAATCTGGTCTATAGACAAAATAAACTGTAGAGTTTAGTAAATTCTTATGTCTATGACATGCACCTTTTTAATATTTCTTGAATAAACCAGAAAGTTGGATATGCAATGGACAGTAGGTTCTTATATACTCTGATTTGACCAGTGCATCGTACAATTTTGTATAGCTCACAGTGTGTGTGTGTGTGGGGGGGATATGCCAGTCAGATACAATGCTTAGACAACGTCCCACCTTATTTTACTCTTACCTATGTTAGCCATGACCTAAATTGCCACACTCTCTTCCTGTTTCATAGATTTATTTGTTTGTTTTATTAGGAGTCAGAGCAGGATAAAAAGAGTTCAGTCCCTTTGTAGCAATTCGGTAAAACTGAGCGGTGGTGATTTGCTCAAGGCCATCAAGTGACCTTCATGGCCGAGTGAGTGTTTGAACAGGGACTTCCCACATCAAAGCCCAACACTCTGTCCAATATTCTACACTGCCTGTAAGTAGATGGGGTGTCTGTGTGGGTAGCTAGCTATATATAGTTTGCAACTTTTGAAGCAGAGCTGAGTTAGTGTTTCAGCATACTCTGCAATGAGAAAAGGGGGAAAGAAAGAAAATCAAGTAAAAGGTTGATGTGAAATTGCAGGATGGTGGGGTGAGGGAAAAGATGTCTGTGTACTGTTGTTTTTTGACCTTCTGTTTAAATTGCATTTTTTTAGCAGCAAGCTGTTGTGGGTTTGAACACTGGGGAAATGTGAAATCGAGCAACAGAAACAGTACTGCAAGGAAAGATATGCCAATGCTGCATAACAAATCAGTGCCGACTGCATATCTATTATGTGGAAAAAAAAAATGACAGCCCGAAAATCTCTAAGGTGCCAAAGCACTTCTAGTCATGGAAAGTTGTGGAATAGCTATTGGAAATCATTACGATGCCCTAAAAACATAATATCCTGTTTGGTTAGATAGATGTATGATGAAAACAGATATTCTTGTTCCAGGCAATCACAGTTCCAAGGAGCAGTCATGCAAGTTTCACATGCTTTATGCAGTTTTGATTTTAACATTTTGCTGGGAGGGGACACCTCCTAGCCACACGCAGATGATTCTGTTAACCGAAGGGTGGAGAATGAAACTTTTTAGATTGTGGAGGGGAAAATGGCAGCAGCACAAATATGGAACATATGTGTACTTGCTGCCCATTTTCTTTCCTACTGGAAAGATTTTGCCTGAAAACGCTCAAGCAGGATCCAGGATATAAGGTGCGGGATTTTTGGTATCACTGTGCCAAAACCTGTCATCCCAATTTATTGAAAGCTTCCTCCATGAAAGAGGTTCCTGTTCTCCTGCCATATTCACAAGGTGCTTTAGATTTTTTGGGGTGTGTGTGTGTATAGGGTTCAGCTCACCTTACCATGGTGAGGTAGCCAAAGTGGTTTGTGTGTGTTCCTTTCCATGAAACATTTATCCCGAGCTCTTCAACCTTCCCAGCTGCCTGTACGTACTGATCTAAAAAAAAAGGGAAGAGTTGCCTCATGTTGCCTTCCCTTTAATTGAAGACGGGGAAGCTAAAGAGGCTTAATACCATACTTCTGGGATTGGTGCACTCTCTGATTTCATAGTTAAGAGAAGTCTTTATTTTGACTTTGACAATCCCTACTCCTGCCCCCCGGTACTCACTAATTTCTTTAAAAGTTCACTTTAAAAAATTACAATGAAATGACATTCAGAAGCATGGTAGATGGCCTCCATGGCTTCCTGCTCTTACAGAAAAGCCCAGCCAAGGCTGTTAAGAAGTTTTCAGGACGTGTGAGCACCTGGGGAGGCTGCAGAGCACAGACTACTGGAGAAAGAGCACTTGCACCATCCCTCAGTCACAGAGCAACATAGGAAGCTGCCTTATACTGTCCACGTAGCTCAGCCAAACTGACTGGCATTAATTCTCCAGGATATCGGACGGGGAGTCACTCCCTGTCCTATCTGGAGATGCTGGGGATTGAAGCTGCATGCAAAGCAGATGGTGAACCACTTAGCTATGACTCTTCCCTAGTTGGTCCTACACTGGTTTTCAGTGTTTAGTCTGCTTCTCTAGGTCCTGCTCCCCTCTTTGGTCCTCATCTCTGGAATGCAGAGTTACTGGCATTATGAAAAGAAAGGGCTAAGTTTTCGCCTTCTAGGTGGTAAAGTGATAGGAGTTGTGAGAAGGCAAGGTAAACAGCACATTCTCTTGTTCTGACACCTGCAGTGTGCTTAGCATGCTTTTTGATGCTTATGAAAAGCTTGTTCTTGGGGGACAAATTGAGCTTGGTGCAAATGGCTGTGATGATAAGTATGTCAGGTCCCAGGCTGCCCTGGACAAAAGGGATGTGAGGGTAGGCAGGAGTCTTTCAAGTGGGCTGGTGCTGAATTTCAGCCTGGGGAATTGGCAGGTGACCTCTGTGCATAATGAGGGTAATTGAATAGCACTTAGTCAGCAGCCTGAACTATCTAGTTATAGAACCGCTGAAGACAAAGATGCTGTAACACTGGATAGAAATCGTTACCTGCTTTGGAACCAAAGTATGCAGCCACTATATTTTGTATTTAATTTGTGATTTTGGAAAAATCCAAAATCTTGTGACTGACTGGTTCTAGGAAGCAGAGGAGGACATGCTTAAGGCTTGTGGGATCTGCTTTGTGTTTTGCTAGAACCATGAGATTAATAAAATGGAGCCTTGTGCAAAAGGTATACATTTAGAATTAAATAATATGGTGTCTCTGAGCGCTGCTGAGCACAGGGACTCTGGGCTGATGTAATCCTGTTGATTTCCCTGAATCTTTCATGGTTTTGATCCTTAAACTATGGTGTCCTTCTGGAATAGGGTAGGGGTACCGTACTTTGAAATTCAGTACCTACTTTGCTGAGAGTTTCTAGAAGGTTAATCTGAGATATTGTTGTTCCTCCTCTTAGAGCCCTTGATCTGTACCATGTTGCTTAATATCTAGATGAAACCAGTAAATGAGGTCATTTTGAGGTTTGGTGTGGGTTTTCATCATTATGTGGGTGACATCCATCTCTGTCTCCCTTTTCCATCTGGTCAAGGTGATGCATTCTCTGTTTTCTTCATTAAATGAAAATACTCGGTTGCATTTTAATAGAAGCTTCTGGTTTGCATATGGTTTCTATTTTCTAGTCCCCCAAATGTTGGCAGATTAATTTGTGCATTGTGTATTGTTACAGGAGTTTACCCATAATTTTAAAACCGTGTCGTGAGTTGGAAATGGGTTAATCATCCCACCCACCCCCTGCTTTCCCACTCTAAATTGCTCAATTCTTGCATAGGAAGAAAATATGTTTGTTTTTGTCCTTGGATACTTAGGTATATTTTAAAAAATAAAAATGAAGAGAATTGTATGTTGTGTTAAATCTAAGGATACAATCCTGTGTAATAATAATAATAAGAAGAATAAGAATAGGATGCAATCCTATGCACTTGAATACAGTGTCCTTTACTCCTGCAGTACCTCAAAGGCTACCTCTCCCCACATGATCTGCAGACCCTCAAGAACCACTTCTCCCCAAATGAACCAACCCAGATTCAGCAATCATCAGCTGAGGCCCTTCTTTGTGTGCCACCTCCACAAGTGATCTGGAGGGTGGCAACATGGGAATGGGTCTTTTCTGCAGTGGCTCCCTGTTTGTGGAATGCTTTCCCCAGGGAGGCTTGCCGGGCGCCTTCCTTACATATATTTTGGAGCCATGCGAAAATGCTTCTCTCTAACCAGGCCTTTGGCTGATTAATGTCCAATGGCCTTTTAAATGTGCTCGTGAGGAGATTATTGGTTTGTATTTGTATTTGTCTTATTATATATTCTGTGTTCTCATTTTGTATTTTTATGTTGTGAACACCTCTGTGATCTTTGGATGAAGGGCAGTATACACATGTAATAATAATAAAATACAGTACTTCAGTGTAGCTTTTGTGAAATACAATGCAGACACTCTTAACAAGATATCTAAGTAAATTGGCATAAGAGTTCAAGAAATAAATTCTAATGGGGAAAGGTGGGAATGATCTAGAAGTGGGATAGTGCATCTTTAATGATGTGCTAACTTTTGTATGAAAAAAGTAAGCACATAATCTATAGAAGATCACACGATAAAACTGCCTCTCTAGAAGGGTTCCGAGTTTCTTAGTTCAGTGTAGGTTAAACTTTGTAGTTGGAATTGTATTTTGATATGTTATAGGAAGCCAGTGCATATTCTGCATAGTTGATACAATGTGATTCCAGGTATTCTGTATTCTGAAAAATGATGTCACATAAACTTGTATCGCTTGTAAATCTGTAAACGTTTTGTGAATACAACATGGTTGTGTGCTGTTTCCACAGGGAAGTGTCATACTTAAGGTAAAGGTAAAGGGACCCCTGACCATTAGGTCCAGTCGTGACCGACCCTGGGGTTGCGGCGCTCATCTCGCTTTATTGGCCGAGGGAGCCGGCGTACAGCTTCCGGGTCATGTGGCCAGCATGACTAAGCCACTTCTGGCGAACCAGAGCAGCGCACGGAAACGCCGTTTACCTTCCCGCTGGAGCGGTACCTATTTATCTACTTGCACTTTGACGTGCTTTCGAACTGCTAGGTTGGCAGGAGCAGGGACCGAGCAATGGGAGCTCACCCCGTCACGGGGATTCGAACTGCTGACCTTCTGATCAGCAAGTCCTAGGCTCTGTGGTTTAACCCACAGCGCCACCCGTGTCCCTAGTGTCATACTTGCTCACACATATATTTTAAATCTGCTCTACAAGTGATTATGAAGTTAATCTGATTAGATTTGCACTGCAAGGATCTTCTGACAATTGTTATTTAAAAAAATTCTGAACAGAAGATGAAAGCATCTAGGAAAAAATTGCTAAACTTCAATTAGTTATGCTAAATTTCCCACCTATTTTCAATGTATCATGATTAATCCCAGAGTATGGTTTTACAGCTAAATTACAATATCAGTTACCTATAAGTAAGTTCCACTGATTTCAGTGGCTTTGGATGTAAGAAATCCAGCTTTATATCCTACTGTGTTCTGAAGCTCACTGGGTAACTTTGTGCAAGTTTCAGCACAACTTAACCTAACAGGGTCATACTGAGGATAAAATATACCCCCATGTAAACTGTTGGAGGAAGATCAGTAAGCTTGTGTCTTTTGAAGTTGGTTGGGTTTTAGTGTTTAAGCTTGCATCTTTCCCACTGACTTGTTCAGGAATAAGTGCTTTTAATCATGTACAAAAGTCCTACCAATGAAAAGCAGCTATTATCTCACTGTATGCAATGATGGAACAATAACTTCCATATGAAAGAAATATGGGCTTCAGACTAAGTAAGCCTCAGCATGTCTCATTTAAAAATTAAGACATATTAGCATAAGTTCTTGAACCCATAAGTTTTTGAAAAGGACAGCACACAATCCTATTGCTTTCCTATGCTATGATTTTGTTATTGTTTTGCTATATTATAAAATTGTTGCAATGTTATTGTTTTGCTACGTTGTTGTGAAATTTTTGTAGCATTTCTTTGAAATGCATCCCTGTTTCTTTGTTGTAAGCCACTTTGAGCCTGATGTTGCATGTGTGTGGAAAAGCAGCGATATTGGCCTTTACAGCCACAGCAGGCTCTGTAATTCAACAATTTGACTTGACCCCCAAAGATGCACTCTTCCATTTTGTCTCCTGAGACAGATGCATTCCAACCTTCTGACTGTGCAGCTGTTGGGCAGTTTGTCTGAGCCCCAAAGACAACAGTTGCACCTTTGCAGAAAGACACAGCTGCTAAGCTTGGTGCTGAGAGACCAGCAGCCCATCATCTCTGACATACAGATATGGCTATGTTGGGGGAAGGAGAGAATTACTGTATCTGACTGCATCCCAGCTGGAGTCATTACCTGACTTGTTCTGCATGGTTCCCTCCTGCTTCCTGAGTCTGAAGTACCAAAACAAACAAATATAATGAAATTGTCTTTAATTGTATGCCTCCCTTCTTTATTCAACCTTTGATCAGGGGGCCTCCAACCTTCAGCCCATAATGCTAGAGATGCCACTGAAGAGCAACTACAAATATGAAAAAATAACACTAAAGCCTATATACTATATACTTTATATACTATAAAGCCCTACTTAGATGTTAAAAAGTGACTTTTGAAAGCCACAGGAGACCTATGAGTTCATGATTAGATATCTACCTTTTGGTTATTCACATGGACAAACCATTGCTGGCCTGGGAAGTTTCTGGCGTGTTTGCCCAGTGTTCAAGTGTTGGTGGACAGACTGCTGCTTCTATTTTGGTCTCCTGGCACTTGGGAATTCAAATGCTGACAGCAGGGTACATTTGGCACACTTGTTTGAGCCATATGGAACAATTTGCTCTGTGTACCCGGATTGTGATGCCCATGCTTTGTGCTTGTGGCATAAATGCCTTTGTTTTGTGTGTGTGTGTGTGTGTGTGTGTGTGTGAGAGAGAGAGAGAGAGAGAGAGAAGAGTTTAAGGCAAAAATCTTAACCTCAAGGCCTCCTTTCCTACTTTAAATGTACCCTTGTGACTTGAGAATTGATTGAAGCTTTAGAATGATACAATAGTTTGCATAAAGTTGACTTCGTTTTGAATGTTTTTTTAGGATGAGGTATATCTAAAGTTTTTGGTATGTTACTGCTGTATGTTACATGTGTGCGGAATGACAAAGAGTGGAATGCAAGTTTTCTGAGACTCTGCTTGAGCATTCACAGTTAAAGTTTGCAACTGAAGAAGCATGAGAACCACAAACTTTGATGAGTTAGAATTGTAGTACAGTGTGCATTGACCTGATATGCTAAAATAAACAAGAACTTTTGTTTGATCTTTTTTTTTTAACGAAACCTTTCACAGTATGAAATGCTTTTTACACATCTGTATATGTTTATAAAGACTCTGGTCAAAGATAATTGCTAATACATATTCTTTGAGTTGTTTATCATGAAAATATATTGTTACAGAGGTTGTGCGCCACCCCACAATCTTTGCCAGGAGGTAGGTAGCAAGATTCCAGGTGGTTTCAGGCGCTTACTCAGGGTCATGTTTCCATTGGGAATTTGGGCACATCAGAGACTGTAGTGTTTTAAGATATATGGTTTATTTTACACCTATATACACCTGGGTCTAGGTGGAAGAAGTGAGTTCACAGCATTATATCTCGAGAGGGTCTTGCTCCCCACAGCAGCACAGCTGCCCAAGGCATCCCGCCCACCATTCCTGTGGCTCTGTCCCAGCCTGCCAAGATGGTTCTGCCCCACATGACCTGTGTCTGGAGTTCTGGCACCTCCTTCCCAGAAAACCCCTTTCCAAGCAATTACCACCTTCTGTGACAATTTTCCTCTGTGACACCACACCCGCGTTGCCCTGGAAACCTTTCCCTCTGTTACGTGTAGGTTTTTTTCTTCTTGTGGATGGCTTAATGGCAGAACTATCATCTCTCTCTCTGCACCTCTGACTGGCAGAAAAACCAGTTAAGCATACCAGCTTTGATTAAACCCCAGTACCCAAGAACCTAGGGATCTGGGGGGTCCCTGTTCCCCCACTAACCCATAACGATACATTTGTTATGCATTGTATTTATGCAATCATGTTCTCAGCTTATATGGTATTATATGATTATAGGCCCTTTTCTGAAATTCAGGATGTTAGAGAATTTTTATGCTACAACTATCCTCCCGTCAATCACATAATGTCACTATGATATCACATGATTAACACACAGGTTGCCCCACCCACCTTTCAAAATGTGCAAACAGTGCTTGATTTAAGGCAGTCCCCACCGCAGGGATGACAGATCTGAGCAAACTAGAGTAACACATGACCTTCAATTCTGCTTCTTTCATTGCTGCATAAAGGACTGCATTCAGTTTAAACTGGGATGTGTAAAACTGCATCAGACTAGGACCCCTTTGTTATGAGTAGTATAAGTCCCCAGTGGTACTTGCCCAACTCCAGGCATGTCACCATCCCCGGATCTGGAACAAAGCATTTTCATTTTCCAACAACTGGAAATATTTGGAAAATGTGATTTTCCTAAAGTTGTGTTTTTCTTTCAGAGTGGAATGCAGATTATACATTGAAAGAACAACAGGTGCATGATTTGTTGTAAACCAATAACCAAGTGAGGTTGTGGGTAGGCTTGGGCAAGTTTCTCAAGTTAAACCGCCCTACAGGACAGAGTTGGAAAGTGCTTCATATGCTTAAAAATGCTATAGGAATGATTAAGAACGATTCTTCTGTTTTTTATAGAGGATTCTTTGAAAGAAGTTTTTAAAAGCCTTTGAGTATCTTCATATGGTTCTGCTCATTCATCACCTCAAGTGTAGCAAATCATCCAAGTGGCCTTGTAGTTGAAAAGGATTAAAAAGTCATCCAGTGACTTTATCAGCACTTGAAAAATATCTCTTCCAGAAAGAGAGCGATTTATACAGCAGGATACAATGTTATACTTAGCAGACAATTGTTTGAAATGTTGCGTTTTAGTCTCCCATTGTAAATAACAAAACCACTTCTTCAAGTTAAAGATTAATGAGAAACATTGCATGCAACAAGACTATGCTTGTTTGCCAAATTAGGGAAAATAGATTTTCACATTTTTTCAATCATAGTTCCAACTTCACATGGTTTTGGACAATCATTTTCCTGCCTCTTTTAATTGCATTGTCATAATACAATGAGAGAGAGAAAATATTTGTTTTCAGACAAGCTTATGTATTAGCTCCATCTGCTACCCTTACACTGGCAATTTACTGGGCAAAACTAGTTCCGGTCACAATGCTGGTAATTAACTAGTTTATTTCATTTTAGTTTATTTATCGCATTTATATAACACCTTTATCTTCCAAGGATCTTAAGGTGGTGTACATGGTCCTCCTCCTCCCCATTTCATCCTCACAACAACCCTGTGAGGCAGGTTAGGCTATAAGAGACGTTGACTGGCCCAAGGTCACCAAGTGAACTTCATGGCTGAGTGGGAGTTAGAGAGCGTAGTCATTGCTGCTTCCCTCCCCATCCCCAACATCATGCTTTCCATGGGAAGTTAGCTGTGTTCTGCTTGTCCTGATAGTGGAGATAACGGCTGTTAAAAGCACAGGAACCCTGTTTTTCCCATGCCAACCCTAAACTGAAGCATAGGCTGCCATACTGTAAGCAATCCCCATTAAACACAGAGAGGCTTGCATCTGAGTAGACACGTGTGCCATTGTACTGTAAGTTAACCATACAATGAATGTTAATGGGCTCCTGGCTTTAGGGTTTACATAGCAAGTGGCTAAGCTGCTTTGCAAAAGTTTCACATTTTGCAATTGCCATTTGGGAAGGGGATTCTTAACATCCACCCACACTTACTGTGTAGTAGTATTTGCAAAAAATAATGTCTAGGGCAGTGTTTCTCTGCCTTTTTAAACCAATGCCGCCTTTCATGTAAAAATTCCACATGCACTTAAATCCTGGCTCCCATAATCATTTTTTAAACATTGAAATAGCTTGAAATATCATGACGTTTAATTTTTAACTTTTATTGTGCATATTTTTGGAAACATGCCCCTTGTCCCAAGATTTTCATATGCCCCCGTTGGGGGGCATGTGTTCCAATTGAGAAGCAGTGATCTAGGGAGTAGCTGATCTCAGATGAACCCACCACAGAAAAGATGCATCCTGGGTGTTAGGGAAAAAGGAAGGGCAAACTATGGAAAAAACACACAGCTCTGTAGGAACTCGTTCCAGAGGTCCGTTCTTAACCTGAAACTGTTCTTAACCTGAAGCACAACTTTAGCTAATGGGGCCTCCTGCTGCTGCCACGCTGCCGGAGCACGATTTCTGTTCTCATCCTGAAGCAAAGTTCTTAACCCGAGGTACTATTTCTGGGTTAGCGGAGTCTGTACCCTGAAGCATATGTAACCTGAAGCGTATGTAACCCGAGGTACCACTGTACTGAATTCACTCATTGGCTAAAACACTGACAGGAAGGAGTAGCTAGGTTGGCTCATTTTTCAGAAATTGCTTAGAAGGGTACCAGCACTGTTTGTTGGAAAACTTTCAATCTAGGCAGTGTTCAAAGCTCCCATTCTAGGCGCATTTTGTGACAGGGAATTTCATTAGTGAGAGCAGTTTGTGAGCTCTGGGTGCAGTACTGTGCCTAAGATTTCAGATTCAGACTGCAGAGTGGAAGGAAAGGAGGACCCTTTTCTGCCTCCCGATTTCCAGCTACTCTCTGAAGACTGGAGAAGAAACCCTCTTAAGAATATTAGGGGGTGGGTAGGGGAAGGACTAGACTATGTGAAAAATGAACGTAATATTTTAGCTGCAGTTCATTCATTTTCAGCTTTGTATTCTTATAAAAAAGCACGGCCTAGACATTCCGTTGTTGCACCCATAACCTAGGTTTAAGGTGCCATTTAGCTCCTAGATTTCGTATCTATTTTTAATACTGATTCTAGGTAGGCTAGAGACTTGCGTTTTTTTTTTAAATGAAAGCTTAGCTTCTGGGGGTGACACTGGAGGCCTTCACAGGTGGTATGGCACCCACAAGCACTATCTAGTGCAGTGCTGTGACATTAGTTCCTCAACTTTTTAGAAGATTTGCCCAGCCCTGAACTTCGATCTTTTTAGCTAGAAGTAGCCAGGATCCAGTCTAGGGCATTCGGAAAGCTAAGTATTTGTACCACTTTGTATTGAGTTCATTCTCTCTCTCTCCCTGGTCCATCAGAGATGCAGAAGGTCCACATAAGGATGACTATGGAAAACAGCCTCTTCCTTTTTGCAACCAATGCTGCATGATAAAAATGCATGCATGAAGCTGCTGTTATTTTGGAGGGCTAGGCAGACACATCTGTCCACACAGAATGAGTGGTATTTTGACTGTTTATGTAGCTACACGCACTTTGGGGAGAAACTACTCATTTCCACATTACTAATTCACATTAGAAGGGGAAGCAATGGAGGCAGTGAGAGATTTTACTTTCTTGGGCTCCATGATCACTGCAGATGGTAACAGAAGTCACGAAATTAAAAGACACCTGCATCTTGGGAAAAAAGCAATGACAAACCCAGATAGCATCTTAAAAAGCAGAGACATCACCTTGCCAACAAAGGTCTGTATAGTTAAAGCTATGGTTTTCCCAGTAGTGATGTATGGAAGTGAGAGCTGGACCATACAGAAAGCTGATCGCCGAAGAATTGATGCTTTTGAATTATGGTGCTGGAGGAAACTCTTGAGAGTCCCATGGACTGCAAGAAGATCAAACCTATCCATTCTTAAGGAAATCAGCCCTGAGTGCTCGCTGGAAGGACAGATCCTGAAGCTGAGGCTCCAATACATTGGCCACCTCATGAGAAGAGAAGACTCCCTGGAAAAGACCCTGATGTTGGGAAAGATTGAGGGCACAAGGAGAAGGGGATGACAGAGGACATGATGGTTGGACAGTGTTCTCGAAGCTACCAGCATGAGTTTGACCAAACTGTGGGAGACAGTGGAAGACAGGCGTGCCTGGCGTGCTCTGGTCCATGGGGTCATGAAGAGTCGGACACGACTAAACGACTAAACAACAACGTACAGTTTCATCACATATGAGTGCAGCTACCATATTGTAACTAGAGTACATTATCTCCTTTGGCACAATTCTAATCCATAAATGTAGTGTGGTGATCTAATAAATGATTATTGGTTCAATTCCATTTTCTTGCTGTATGTGTCCAGATGTTTTTTTGGATTACACATTCCAGTAGGGAAGAGCTTTAGCTCAGTGGTAAAGCACATGCTTTTGCATGCCTAAGGTTCCACAATTCCCCTGCCGTCTCCAGGTAGGACTGGTGAAAACTCCACCTTGCTACCCTGAAGAGTCACCATCAGTCAGGGTCAGATGGACTGATGGTCTTACTTAATATAAGGCAATTTCCAATGTTCCTGTGTCAGAGGCAGGGAACCATTTTGGCCTGACAGGCCAGATGTTGTTGATCCCCACCCCTGCAGGTCAACTTTGACAGGTGGGTGGGGCAACTCCCCAGTTAGTCTCTAGTTTCTACAGGATTCAATATGTTTGGTTTTTAAGCAGTTTCCTCGCCTACTGAAGTGTGTGAGAGAGAGAAAGCAAGCAAGAGCGAGGGGGGAGGCGGGCAGGCAGGCATCAGAGTTTTAGCTAACAGATTCTTTGGTGCATTGTTATGAAGGGAGCACGAGGAATCTCTAATTTTAACAGCATTTCATCTGTCAAACCTCATCCAAATGTAACAGCAGCAGTTGAAGCATAATTGCTTCAGCAATAAAGAGGATGACATAAAGTATGCAGTGGCTGGAAGGAAAATTATGCCAAAATCACTGCAGACCCCCCCCCCCAACATCTCTAGGAGAAGTTATTGTATGATTAGAATCACATGTTGTGAATACTATTTTTAATTTC